GAAACACTCAACTTAGTAATGGGCTACAAGAGGTTGAAATCCATTGCGATGTTTAGAAGAAGATACACGCCCACTATGCCACTTAGAAAGACCCTGCCTCCTCTGCTCCACATAAAAACCTTTTCAACGTGCAGTTCAAAAATATAGAACTTTTTTGGTTTCTTTTTTGGGGAATGGGGTGCATATTAGTTATACAGAGTACTGGGTTTTGCTGTGACATATTCATATATGCATCTCACATACGTTGAGGTGCCAGTCCTTCCATCTTTTTCAGGGCCAGCCTGGAATAAAGCTGACAAACCTGACTGCTTTCCACGCTTACTCTTCTCTTGAATATTGATACTTGAGCAGCCGGTGCGGGGCCAGGACATTGGATTCGGGTTTCAGAGTTGCTCTCTCTAGGATCATCAATGGCCTTCATAACTCCAATGTCCCTTCTCCCAACTCCATTGGTCTTTCAATTTCCCCACCATTATTCTCCTGAATATTTTTGCTGTATTTGGCAACTTGGAGTCTCATTTTCTTAGCTGATCTGTCTCTCCTCGGCTTCAAGAGGAAGCATGATAATCCTTGCCTTCTCAGACTTTCCAATCTCCTGCCTTCCCTAATTGACTTTAACTCTGGGCATGGCCCAAGGGTGACTTCTTAATTCACTCTTTTATCTCTTTTGTCCTCAAAAACCCCCTGAATGACTCTGGTCTAAAATAGAACTGCCCAGTAAGAAAGGTCCATTTCAGTAGGCAGAAAATATATGAAAAAATGTTTAACATCTTTAGCCATCAGGGAAATGGAAATCAAAACTACTATGAGATTCTATCTCACCCTACTCACAATAGCTATCATTAAGAATCCAAAAAAACAACAAATGCTGGAAAGCATGACTTGGTAGGTAGAGGAATCTTTATATACTGGGATGGAATGTAAATTAGTACAGCTACTATCAAAATTAGGATAGAGGTTCCTTAAAAAAATAAAAATAGAGCTACCATTTGATCCACCTATACCATTCATTAGTATATTTCTGAAAGAATTAAAGTCAGCATATAATATGCTGTATACTTATGTTTATTGCAGTGATACTTGCAAACCTATGCTTATTGCAGTACAATTCACAATAGCTAAACAATGGTAATAGCCTAGGTGTATGTCTAATAGATGAATAAAGAAAATGTGGTATATGCACATTATTCACCCACAAAGATGAATGAAATAATGCCATTTGCAGGAAAAAGGATGGAACCAGAGATGATGTAAAGTAAAATAAGCTAGACACAGAAAGTCAAATATTATATTTTTTCTTACATGTAGAATCTAAAAAAAATTAAAATAACATGAAAGTGTAAGGGGGGGAGGATAGAAAAGAGAAAAGGGGAAGGATAATAACAGAAAGGAAATGGTCAAAGCATGTCATATGCATGTAAATATGCCCAAGTAAAACCCATTATTCTGTATAACTGATGAGGATTTATTTTAAAAACTCCATTTTAGTATATGGTGTATTTGAGCATCATGCCTTGTGTTAGATTTTCAATTCAAAATATGGCTGTTCCTCAAACCTCTTTCTTTGCCTTCTGCCTGGAATACCCTTGCTCAGGGCATGAGCTCCCTCACTCACCTTCTTCAAATATTTGCCCAAATCTCACCTTGTTGGTGAGGCCTCTTCCTTCTGCCATGTTTGATATTGTGACCTGTGTCTCACTGTCCCAGTTTCCTTTCTCTGCTCAAGTTTGTATGCCTCTATAACATTTCCAAATTGTAACATGTTAAACTCATTTTAATTATGCTCATTAGTTATTATTTTTTTGTTTATTGAAATTCATGGCATAAAAATAACAGAAATTTATTCCTCACAGTTCTGGAGGCCCTAATCTGAAATCAGGGTTCCAGCATATTTGGTCCTGGTAAGGGCCCTTCTATGGTGGATGCAGACTACCAATCTCTCTTGTTAGGAGAGGCAGAGAAAGTTAGCCAGCCCCTTAGCCTCTTCTTACAAGTCTGCTTGGGCCAGGGGTTTAGCTTAATGGTGCCCCACCCGCCTCGAGAAACACAAGGTCCTGAGTTCCATCCCTGGTATTAGAAAAAAGAAGTACAAGCCTGCTAGCTAATATTAATACCTTCCAAAGGTCTCAAGTTCTAATACTATCCCTTTGGAGATTAAGATTTCAACATAAGAATTCTAGAGAAGACAGTCTGTCCATAGCATACTGGTAGAATACGTTCTCTATTTTGTGGTGGTCACAATGGCATAGAACATTGACTGGCACTTGGTAGCTGATCAATAACTATGAACCTAACTGAGTTCAAAAACTTCTCTATTATCTACCACCCCCCTTCCCCCAGCCTTCCCTAGGCTGCCAACAGCCTAGTCCAGGGTTCTACTCATGGTAATTAGCTTATTAGCATGCTAATTGTATTTCTTGCTTTCTGTCTTTTTAATCCATCTCCTTTAATGTTGGCTGATTTTCTTCTTAAAACCTAAATTTATCTTCCTCTTATCCTTCTTAGAAGCCTTCACTGTAAGCATAAGTCAAAACTCCTTATTCTGGAATTTAAGGCTCTGCTCAGTATGACTATCAGATTCAGCCTCATCTATCCACTCAGTCAATTCTTAAGAAGCTAGTCTTTTTTTTTTTTCATTAAGAAATATTTGTTGGCCTCCAGTCTTATGATCTATATGTTATAATTTACAGTCAATTTAGATAACGTGAACTGAAACAAAGAAAATTTAAACAACAATATTTGTACTCAAAAGGAAGCTAAAACTCATAAGAAAAGCACTTGGTCCATTCACTCTGGAATATGTGGTCCCATCACTGAAATGCCTCTCACCTCCACTTTTGTGCTCTGGGAGAGCAATTCATATCTATATTCAAAGGTTCGACTTACTCTGTGATCGATTCTGTATATTTTAAAAGATGTTTTAACGATGACAAATAAGGAACGTTTTGTCCTTCTATAAATATTCTGATATACTTTCCTTCATTGTATCCCTTTTGATTATAAGAAACACTCCTCTGGGCCAGGTGTGGTGGGACAACCCCCCCACCCCCACCCGCTGATTTGTAGATTATATATACATGCTATCTTATTCAAAAATTCTGACTGACGATTCCTAGGAGGCACCTCTGCCTCAAAACCTGGACGCAACTTGGAGGAAAAGGGTGGGAAGGGAGCTGAGTATCTACAGCAGAGGATTAGGGTCCTGGACAGGAAAGCAGGCTGGGATCCTCGAGTCAACATGCTTCACCATCTCTAAGTGTTCCAAGATCTCACCTTCACACCACTTCTAGTCTTCACTTGAAGGTGGTTCACATCAAAATTCAAAATTTAAATAACAAATATGTACAAATTGAATACATACTATGTTTTGTGGCATCATATAGAACAAAAGTTGTAAATTGAACCATTGTAAGTAGAAGATCATCTGTACAAAAATTAGGGATGCTTAATTTGATGTGGTTTATATATAACACTGTTCTTCATGGCAGAAAGCTAGCACTGAATAGCGTCAAACATGGATTACTTTAATATCAAGATCTATAGCATATGCAAACTTCATACAAACAAAATAACGATGTGCTCTACATATTTTCATTTCTTTTTTAAAAAATTTTTAATTTTTTTTTAATATTTTCATTTCAATGATGTATTATTAGAAGACTTTTTTACTATTATGAGATGCTCACGGGTCAAGATAACATTGGTTGAGGACCTGACTCTTCAGAACAATGCAGTGGAGGTTTAACTCCATTCTAGGGAAAGACTCAGGTTCCCTATTAATTCATATTCAATCCTTACAAGAACTCTTTGTCCATCTTTTCCTAGCCCATGGCACCCACCATCCATCGCTGCTCCTTGAGTTGCTGACCACCCCCTCTGATGTGTCTCAATAATTAGTGGTAGGCTTGGGCAGGCTTTTGTCTTTGCCCAACTGAGGCTCTGACCTCCAGTCCCCAGTTTACCTGGTAAAATGTCTTTGTCTTTTATCCCTCACTGTACCTCTCAAGCAGGCAGCTGTGGGATTTGGCCAGTCCCCAGTAGAACAAAACTTCTGGTAAAATGGTAAAACAACTCCTAGAATCATGAATTGTGACCAGAGACTATTTTCTGCCAGTCTTCCTTTAGTGATACCATGGGCATTCCAGTTTTTCCCTCTTATTTCTGAGGTGCCTTAGGTGTGGGATATGTGGTGATACTGATGGTACAGATGTCAGAGTGCATAGGCCCCATGACTCTGAAATCTACCATGGTTCAGTGTTCGGTTAGGTTTTGAGTCAGGCCTCAAGTCATTGAATCCTTAATCATTTCCTGAATGGCTACACCATGATAATAGAATCAGAGCTTATGCAGAATAGACAAGAAATCTCAAAGTACACAACTATCTTAGATTGTAGGGCATCTCGTGATCCCTTGGGCAGACTTTGTCTTGTGTAAGCTTTCCCACAGCCCTGGGAGACAAGAGGTCCTGCCCAAGCTGAGATGTGGCCCCCGGGGCCTGTAGAGGGGAGCTTCTTTATCACCGTGCGGATGAGCAGAGAAAAGGAAAAGGTTCTAAGTTGAAACTACGTAGACAAGCGGGATAGGTGGTATCTGGCAATCTTTGATAAAACTAAATTCATGTGGAAATTTCAGACCCCAAAAGCCATTTTTTATCTAAAACCTTCTCTAAATCCAGATTTCAATTTTCGAGATGTACAAAAAGCAGGAAACCCTGTGAAGATTTCAGAACACAAAGCATCTATTGCTCCCCAGCAGAGCTCCCTACACCATGTGTGGCCAGATTGGTGCTTTGCAATTATCCTGGCTGCTATGAATCACCTGACTTCAAATGTAAGGATAACATATGCTGAGCCATTACTTTTGAACATACTTCACATGGGAGATACAAATCATGAAATGCTACAGGGCTATAAACAAATTCAAAGTACAATTAGTATTTCTGATAATATTGTCTATTAGTATATTACAGTTTCATACCAAAGACAGGAATCATTTGTTACCTTATGATGAAAACTTCTGCAGTCCTATCAGGGTAAAGCACTGAATCCCTCCACCCTTTGATTGAGTAATTTTTGAAGTGCCTCCAGTAGATCTAAGGGAAAAGAAAAATATATAAGGAACATTAGAAAGCTTTAGTCAACATGAGCTTTTATTGTAAGTTGTTCAAATTCTTATTTTGCTATAATATAAAATTTCCACATATCTTGCAACAAACTGTCTTGCACAAAATAATTAGCATTTGGAGAAGACATAAATCTGAAGGTAACTTTCTTTCTTACACAATTATAATCTACCCCTTATTTAATCATGAATGAATGTCTTTTCCTGTCAAAGAGTCATTCTTAAGTATTTTCCACAATGATTTGCTTATTTTTTCCTAGACAAAATTTTACTTTGTGGCCTCATTAGTAATAGTAAGAATTTTTCCAAGAGAAACGGAATATTAGGTCTACATAATCCTTCTCTGTGGCTTCCCTAAGACTGTTTTATTACTTTGCTCTACTAAGAGATAAACTAGCACATTTTGGCCCCTAATCTCCTATACTTACATTTTTTTGACCTAAAAATCCCTACCAGGGCCCTAAGTACCCCATCAAGTCTATAATAACGTTGACCTGATCCAGTAAAAAGTATGCTCTGCCAGCATGTTCTGTAAGATAGCCTTCCATCAACACAAAGTTCCAGCCATCCTTTTTTGGAACTAGCAAAGAAAATAAGCTGGCTTTGGCAGTCGATCACAGACTGCTCTAATTCAATGAAATCCATTTTCCACAGGCTTTCCTTGGCAAGCGTCTTCTCTCTGCCTGCAAACTGACTATGTTTCTTTGTAAACTTACTTAGCAATTCTACTTAAACACCACCCTTTATAGCCCTAAAGAGTTACCACTATTATTACTGAAAATATATTTTAAAGAAGACTTTCAGTATAATATTTTTTGGGAACTCTTAACCTTAGTGCATCATCATCCACAGAAGTGTTTGGGGAAACAGGATGCCACTGGCATAGTAATGTGTAACACTGGAAAGGTCTGGAAGCCCAGGCTGTACTACCGGCTCTAGAATGTGCCCCATTGATCTGCTTGCTTTCTCAAATAATCTGCTTATGAAGCCTCTTATTACAGTGATGTGAGTTTGATGTCCTGTCCAAACTCTACTTATAAGAATCATTCTGCATATCTTTGGAATTTGTAAGAGCAAGTCACTAGAAACTGAGAAAGGTGGGACAAATAAGCGCTTCAAGAACAGGCATACAGCAGGTTTTGTTGTTATTGTTGTTTAAAGTAACACAGTCTTTCATTATTTATGGGTAATTTTCCTTTTTAACAGGTGTATATTAATTATAGAGAATAGTGAGTTTCCTTTTTGGCATAGTCTTGTATCCCTGTAACATACTTCGGTCATTTCCCCACCCCTCCCATTACCCTTGTATCCTTTCCTCCCCCTTCTCCAAATCTCTTCCCATTCTCTAGTAGTCTCAGCAGGGGTAATTTCTTGATTCTCATTAATCCAGTTAAATGTTTAAAAGAATAGTATGTATAAATCAAAATACCTTAAAATCGAGTGAGACACATAAAAAGGATATTCTTTATGGGGATATTTATATGAAGTTTTATGAAAGGCAAAAATAAGGTATAATAATCATCAGAACAATTGCTGTAAGGGATTAATTACAATTTAGTAGGAGGGGACTTTCTATAATAATAGAAAAATTATATGTATTAATAGATAATGGTTACCTGAGTACATACAACTGATAAAACTCATGGAACTGTGCCATTTAAATATACAGTTTATTATAATTTAACTTATAACTCAGTTTAGAAAGAAAGAAATGAACATTATGACTCAAAGTCACTTCTCAGGTTTTAGAATGATTTTGATTCGGGTAACCTTTAAGAAATTTTTATCTCCTTCCTAACCAGTGAAAATCAATTCATCATTCTTTCAATTATTCATCCACTTATGAAGGATTTACCAAGCATAAATATATACAGAATTAGCAGAATGGTAGTGTACCAGAGAAGGTAATGGTTAACTAGAAGTAGATCCACTGATATGGAAAAGTAATAACTAAACAGAAATAGAACAATTAATACAGAGCTTAGAATCTTTTACGAGAAAATGTACAATCAAAATGACAAAATAGGCCAGGCTAATCCACTTGGTAAGACTCTGCCTGGAAGAGAAGGAAGGAAGGAAGGAAGGAATGAATGAATGAAGGAAGGAAGGAAGGAAGGAAGGAAGAAGGAAGGAAGGGAGAGGGAGGGGGAATGAGCTGGGGGAGGTGAGAGGCTTGGGCTAGAAGCTAGCTCAGTGATAGAACAATTACCTAGCATCCGCAAGACTCTGGGTTCAATCCCCAGCACCAAAAAGATAAACAAACATTTTATACAATAGGCAAAAACAAAGAGTTATGGCCAAGTTACCGAGAGAAGCCTTATGTTTTATAAAGGGCTGTGTCAAAAACAGAATAAAGTACTCTAAAATAAATTCCAGGCTAATCTGATCCAAAAATATTGTTGTTCACTGAGCATTAAGATCTGATTCCAAAGAAAAGTCGATAGAAAGTATTTTCTACTAAACAATGTCACTATATTCTTTAATGAATCAATGAAAAAAGTAAAGTATTTTTCAAGTCAATTTGTTTGACCATAAAAGTTTTTTGTTTTGTTTTTAACAGAATTTGGGTCTCTTGAGCCCTATAGCAGTTTATGTATACAGCTGTCCATGAGGATAAAATGGTGTTGAGTGACCTTCTTTCCCATGAGCAAATCGCAGCTGGGAAGACAGGTGCATCTACTTCCGGTGACTCTGTTGGCAATGAGGGATTTCCAGGCTCTCCCAATAACAAACATTATGCAGACTCACAATAAATGCAAACTTATGACAGGAGTAATATCGGACATAGAAAGTACAATCACAAATAGACTAGTGTCTTAATATAAAATACTTTCAGGTAAGTATATCCCCTTCACAACACTCTTAAGTGAAATCCATCTGTGGGCAATCCTATCTTTTAATGCCCATGAGAAATTTCTATATTCCATTATTATGACTGACAGCTAAATTAGATAGACATTAATAGGCAGTCAGAGAGGTATTGGGCCCTGGAAGAAGTCAGTGGAAAAGACGAGACACACCAAGATTGTAGCCGGCAATAAATCTGAAGAGAGCCAGGCCTCAAGACGGAGATGCAATAGTCAGGCCCCCAAGCCTTCCTAGAGAGAAACAGCAGCTTGAGATTATACTATAATTAGTACCACCTGGTCCAAAGAGCCCAGCTAGATGGGTGGGTGGGTGGCTAGAACATTTGTATCCATTTCAGAATGCCTCTGTTCTTTCCACAATTAGAAGTTATAAATAAGCTAAAGTTAATGATGCTTGTTATATCCCCCTGCTATGTGCCTCTCTTCCCTATTGGATGAATAGTAACTAAATGACTATACTTATAATCCAATATGCTGATTGTCATTTGATCCATGTTGTACCCGCTTTGAGATTTTGCTGTATAAAATACCCTTAACAAAAAGCCTCAGTAGCCAACCACTGGACATCTCCTACTGGAAATCTAGGAGCTATTGTTCTTCTTTTTTCCAATCTAAGTCTCCTAACCTCTTCCTTTGGCTCATGACTTCATTCCTCGATGTTGTGAGACCTTGATCTCAGTACATAGGAAAACATTATCAAAGATCTTCTTGTTCCTTTTTCTGGCTTTCTAACCTATGTGTTTAAAATTCTTTACAGAGGGAAAAATTCATTTGTAGTAGTAAATGCATGAAAGAATATGAGAAAATATGAATTATGAGCCATAAAATTAAGTTATTGAATTCCCAATCCTTCTAAGGAAGCCTGTCCTATTGTTTACTTTGTGAAACTGTCTACATGGAAACAATATGATTTGCTAAAGAATGCTCTAAGATGGAACTTGCGAATAATAGTGTAGTTCAAAACTTAGCTTTGGAATGAGAAGGCCATGATGGATAATAAATGTTCCATGCTTAGTCAATCAGATGTCCACAACATGAACTTCTCACTGGTCTCTAGTCAGTTTCTGACCAGACAATGCAAGGTTTAGGCAACATTCTACTGACAGGAAGGAAAATGGCCACTTGAACCTCAAAGTCATTGGAACTTTAGATAAAAATCTCAAATATGAGAGCCATTCCTCAGAAAACACTGCCAGATTTCCGTAAAAACTGTAAATTAATACTGTACATTTTTACCTGGTCAGTGAACAACTGAAAAGAAATACTTCATTGTTGTTTAGGAATTATATTTCTTGTTTATGTAGGTTTCACATAGTTAATATTTAAGGAAAAGTACATACTTTGAACAAGTAATATTTAAAAATCTTATGTTTTCTTTTATTCTACAATCAAATAGTTGATGATTAATTTATGTTAGCATAATGGAACATTTTCCTAGCATTCTCACGTAATTTTTTCTTCTATTTTTCCAGTTTCTACTCTTTAATTCCATTTTAATACTTTTGGTTTATATTATTTTTCTTTCTTCCTGACAATGTCAGGATTAACTCTCTGTTCCTGGTAATTCTTTGGTACTCACATTTTCATATATATTGTATTATGGAAATAATGTGAAGAAATTACAGTATTGACTTTGTAAGGGTGAGAAAATTTCATAAATATTGCCACTTAATACATTTTTTCCCCATCTCAATCTCCTGGATACGTTACTGAGGGATAAAATCCTAGGTGATTTCTAATGCCTCCTGCATGGTCACAGCTTTCTTCTCCAATAACTCCAGTGACATCGAATCCTGACTTTCAGGCTGCAGGGCTTGTGTGCAAGAAGAGAAGCCTTTCCCTCATGTCCTTCAAGGAAATGATAAGCAGCTCCAATTTAATGAATCTATTAAGCACTGAAATCTGCCTAAGAGAACGGAAATATTTTGAAGGCAGAAATAAAATGTTTGAAACTGGTTACAGGGGACTTAGGAGAGAGGTTCACATTTTAGGGATTGGCTTTACTCCATATGCATAGTTTAAGTCAATTCAAAAGTTTATATTTAGCTCCTACTATGTACTATTTTTCCTGAAAAGTCCAAGGGACATAAAATCTTCCTCTAAA